GAGGAGCCCGACTGGGTAGATCCACCCGGTGTAGTAACCGCCGTCGGCTCACGTTCTGAGTCCTTCCGCCCTTGCTTTCGAGCTTGGCAATACTCCAGCATGGCACGCTGCTCGTCTGTATCATAGTTATCAAATATATTGTGATGCCCAGTACTATACAACTGCAGCTCGCGCCTCTGCGCGTTAGGGTCTAGCTCATCGTCTGGGATGCCCGAGGCACCCCAGTTCCGTGCATCCACGGTCTTCCCCTTGTCCCGAGAGGGACCCTCACCCCGATGCTCGGGAGAGAGGGAACGCGGGCGAGTCGTCTCGACCGCTGCCATCCGGCGGGAATAGCGGTCCCGTTCCGCTGAAGTAAGGCTCGCGGCGGCCGTATCAACGGCCGTCCGCTGAGGAGAAGTGAGTACGGGGCCGTCCTGCGCAGTGACGGGATCTCGAGCAGGCGGAGCGGCGTCCGCACTGCGAGCACGGCGACGCCGTTGGACTGGAATCCAAGGGCCGCCGTCGTCGTCAGAGCCGTCCTCGACGGTCACTGGATACTTCCGAACGCCCTCGCCGGCGTCGGAAACGGGAGAGTTTAAAGCCCTCGGGGCATCTGCGTCTGCAGTCACCAGCCCAGCTACAATAGCGGAGGACTGGGAACCCGAGGCGGGGACACCGCGCTCGGTTCCGGGGCTGACACCACCGGTAGGGGACTCGGTCCCAGTAAGAGGGCTACCTGTGGCAGGAATGTCAGCCGTGACTGCTGCAAGGGGCGGCTCACCTGGTACCGAAGGCTGAGCGGCCGAGAGAACCTCCGTGCCCGGCGGGCGACGTCTGAGGTTGTATCTAATAGACATGTCTGGGTTTTTATAATAGGTTAGCTAACAGGGAGAGAGAGAACGGGAACGTGCGATATAGGTCGTCGAAAGGAGTCCCGAGTTGATCAGACTCGGAGGAGGCCCAGTCGACGAGAAAGAGAGAGAGAGAGAGAGACGAGAGTGAGATGGTTGTTGTCGAGAGACTAGCTGTCAAAAATATGACGCGCTCGCTGGCCCGAAGGGGTAGGTGGCGCGTCACGAGAGGGGGAGAGGTTCGCTCGAGGGATAGACAGGTTACGAGTCAGTCTCGATTGAACGCTGGAGTTTGTACATACAGATCTGAGTTTATATACGGTTCACGGGCGCTATAACAGCTCTAAGGTTCGGGAACACACGGTACAGATAAGAGTTAGATAGGAGAAGCTAGGATTAGGAAGGGGCCAATCCCGAAGCACAACGTCGATCAGGTACGGAGGGGGAGAAGAGAAGTAGCGCGCGACGCGGGCGCTACAGTAGATTTTGGCGCTGAGCTTCGGGCCTCAAATGCTGCCGGCTCCTTAATGGTGTTCAACGAATTTGTGCCTTCCTTGCCGTCCCAGGCAAATGTTCACTCGAAATTGGCGTGGATACGGACAAGCATTCAATGATCATAGTAGTGGCACGACATGCGGTTCCTTGCCATCTCGACACATTGCGATGTCAAATCAAGACAAGCGGCTGGACATGCGATCATGATAGGGCCGATCCTTCAAGCTTCAACCGGTAAGCTTCAAGCCTGAGAGGGTCTGAGAAAAGTTTGGTCGGTCGCGACTAGATACAATTTCGCTCTTACGACGTCTCAAATGCGTAATCCACACAATTCATCGTCCATGGCATCATCTTCAAACGATGAGACCCAGCGTTCATGCGGTGTTCGAGAACTGCACGCCCTGCGCAAGGGGAGCCTCGTCCGAGAAGTTGATCGTAGCTGCGCTCCAACGGACGTATTGCTTCCAAGCGTCACCACCGGACTCGCGCCCCCAACCGGTACTCTGAAATGGCCGGTTTTCAGTAAGAAGGAACGTGCGAAGCACTGTGCACCGAGAGCATACCTTGTTGCCGCCAAACGCAGCCCCAATCTCCGCACCGCTAGTGCCAACATTGACGTTGACAATGCCAGAGTCCGAGCCAGCAGGCCCGATCCACTTTCCGACGTTCCTGATGTCCCGAGTCCACAGGCTACTGCTCAAGCCCTGCGGCACGCCGTTGTTCCACTCGACCGCCTGCTCGAGCTCGTCGAACACGCCCACCGTGAGCACCGGGGCGAACGTCTCCGTGCTCCACACCTTATCCTTCACGTTCACCTCCTGTGGGATCGCGATAGTGGGCATGACGAAATTGCCGCCATTTAGCGGGCTCGCGAGGTCGCGGTAAAGCGCGCCGCCTGTCATGATCTCCGCTCCGATCTCCTTCAGGTGCTGGATGGCGGCATCGTAGGTCTGGACAGCAGCACGGTTGTGCAGGGGTCCGAGAAGCGTAGAGCGATCAAGCGGGTCGCCAGGGCGGACAGACTGATAGAGCCCTTCGAGGCGTGCGAGGAAGTCCTCGACAACGTTGGAGTGAAGATACAGCCGGCGCGTGGTCGTGCAGCGCTGACCGGCGGTACCGACTGCCCCAAAGAAGACCGCGGGCACGGCGAGGTTTAGGTCGGCATCGGGCATGACGACAGCAGCTGCATATAGCACATATGTTATGACTTCGGCGCTCGGTGGATACGGAGAACAGCGTGCACGTACCGTTGTTGCCTCCGAGCTCGAGCAGCACTTTGCCAAAACGGCCTTGAACGACCTTGCCGACTTCGCGTCCGACGGCTTCGCTGCCCGTGAAGGAAACCATATCCACGTCGGAGCTACCAACGACGTGCTCGCCGACGGCCTTCCCGCCGAGGACGAGACCGGCCACGGCACCTGGCACGCCGTTCCTCTCCAGCACTTCTGAGACGATCTTCGTCACCGCGATAGAGCAAAGAGGCGTGCTCGGAGCAGGTTTCCAAAGTGTCGCGTTTCCTGCCGCCAACGACAACGCGAGATTCCTGATGCGGTACGGCGCAGGCAGTGAGCTGCCGCGCATGATAATGGCGAGCACTCGACGCACCAGCCGTAGACCGCCACAGGAAAGTTGAACGCGGAAAGCACCGCGACCACTCCAAGTGGGTTGGGGACTGCGAGATTATGTGAGCAAACGTGAGGTGAGCCTTCATGCATGGCTATATGCGCGTACCTTCAAGAATGCTATGACCCGGACGCTCAGACGCGACGACTCGACCATTCATCATACGAGATAATCCAACGCCATAATCCGCCTGAGAATTTGCTCGAACAGAATGCCAAAACGAGTGTACGAGAACTTACAATGTCAATGAACTCCTGCACCTCTCCCTCTCCTTCTGTCCGGATCTTCCCCATCTCTAATGACACGAGGGCGCCCAGAGCATCTCTCTAGTGCAAGATGGATGCAAGCACAAGGTTGTGAGATGTAGATGCAGCATGAGACGACTTCGAGTACACACCTTGGTCGCCAGCGCCTCCCGTATCTGCCTCAATATTTCACCTCGCTTCGGTGCGGGGACGCTCCGTATGACCTTGTACGCCTCTCTCGATCTCTGAATAGCACGCTCGACCTCAGCAGGAGTGGCCTGTGTGCCATACGAAATACGGTGAGTTTCGCGCAGAACGGCATCTACTTGCGCAGAAGACACCCACCGACTTGACGCGTGCGAGGACCTCTCCGGTCGTCGGGCACACGCTTTCCAGGACGTCACCCGACCCCGTCCACTCGCCGTCGTACACACCAGGCAACTCCTTCTCAGCCCGTATATCCAACGCAGATAGGACCGTGGATGCCCTAGAAGAAAGCCCACGAGCGAGAGGGGCGCGGCGGAGTGATGAGAGAGCGCGTCTGGTGATCATGGTGGTGTGCAGGTAGCCGACGTCGAGCCCGTCGGTACTTGAGGATTGCTGTTGCCATGATCCGACCCGACGAGCGTCCCGCCCGACATCCTTACCCACCGAGCCGCCATGACCACTTCATAGATCATCGTGCTGGGACCCTTCGCAGGCGTTGGGCTGCAGGTGTCGTGATCGCTGGGCAAGTTACGAGACGCCAGAGAGTGTACATTGATCGCCGACGGCGGTGAGTTTTGGCCATTTCCTATTTGCGTCTCGACTTTCGACACGAACGGCGTCACCAACACTAGACATTGTTGTTTGTCCCATGAACTCCGTGAAGACCCGGGAGCTGCAAGTATCCTGGTACCGTGTCCAACCTCTCTTACCTCATGATTGCGAAATCCGCAGGAGCCGTCGGCATTCAACAAGATCTCCTTTGCATCACCGGTATACCTCAAATACCTTTCGTGGCCTTGTGTCCCGTTCCGCGCATGCCTCGTTGGGCATGTGTGTCTGCTCGTCGATTAGTACGTAGGAGGTATGTCCCTGTTGAATCCGTCAGAATACGTTCCAACAGCCCTGCACTCAGCGCCACTCATCACTTAACAGAGCAGAGGCCTATTCGCGAGTTGCATCGCAACCGTTTCAGATCTTGACATTCTCATCGTTACGCATGTATGGGATGTACTGGACGACAAGGTTACGCCAGACCACTACTCGTACAGATCTACTGATACACCTTCCCCCATTCACAGGGAGTTATATTGCTTTGTACTGAGCAAGAACAGCCAAATGGTCCAGCATTTTGGTTGTTTCCTCGTCTGGGATACCCCAACGGTCCACCAAAAGCTTCCTCTTCTTCACCGCCTCCTCCGGATCGAGCTGTCCGAGCGCGTTGTACACTGCCCTCCACGCAGAGTTCAGCGCTCCGAGCACCCACGCATGGTGGACTGACGTCGCCTCGCCAGCGACGTGAAGCTTCCCGTCCGCGGCAGGAGCCTTCATGCTTGCGAACATGCTGTTGTTGCGCGTCGGCTGACCGAATTGGCCGGGTCCGAACAACGCAAACGCGCCGCGGGCGTTCTCGTCGTTGTGCCAGTTGTATGCGTAGTGATCGACGAGCTTACCGAACTTCTCCCTGGGCACGCCGTGCAGATGCGACAGGTTGTTCAGCGTGAGCTCAACGAGGAGCCCGTCGGCCTCGGTGCCCTTGCCCTGCGCGAGCCCGCCGAGACGCTGTGCGTCCTGCGCCCAGGTGTAGCTCGCGAGCATCACACCTGGAACTTTCCCCGTCGCGTGGAAGCCGTACGACGGGTAGACGCAGGTGCGGATCGGGATGTCGGTAGACGAGATACCACCCTTGATCGTTCGACCCTCGCCCATGACTTTCGGATCCTCCCACCAGCGCGATTCGAACTTGAGGGCGATCTTGGTCGAAGTGTCGTAGTTCAAGGAGCGGATCGCCAAACGCTGCATATACGAGAGGTCGTCCTTGGGAATGTCGATTGCTGCGAGACACCCGAGGGGTACTGTGCAGATGACCTGCGAGTACGTCTTCTCAGCAGACTTGCCGTCTGACATGCGTTCGGTTAGCTGCAAACCGGAGGAAGAGGACCATCAAGTACTTACCGTGAGTCCGATAGACCACCTTCATCTCTCCTGACTCTGTACGCTCAATCTTCGTGACGCGTGTCCCAGTGATAGGCTTGGTGTCGATCCGGTTCACCATCCTGGTGGTGAGGTGATCGGCGCCTCCATCGATGCAGTACCACGGGTAGTCCAGATCCTTTCCTCGTATCCCAGCATCCGTTGTCGCTGACGACGAACCGAAGTCCATGGCGTCCATCGTACTCTCCACGAAGGCGTTGTTGTAGAGCCCGGTCGCAGATTCGAAGGTCTCGAGCCATTCGACCACGGTCTCGGGGTAGTCCTTCTTCGCGAGCAGGTACCCGCGCGTAGAGTACGGATCCTCCGCCGTCAGCAGCTTCCACGCCTCGGGGAACGGCAGTTTCTCGAACGCATCGCGGTACGGCAGGAAGACCTCCGCCGCGACGGTGTCCGCTCCTTGGGCGACGAACGCGTCAGGAACCGCCCCCCCTTTGGTTTCGGAGACGCCAAATATGTCGAAGTCTTCAGGGGCCGAGTCAGCGGAGCTGTGGCGGAAGCCGTTGAAGAGCTCGAAGGTGTTCGCAGCGGAATACTGGTAGGGGACAAGCATTCTATTCTCTTCGGTCATGCCGAGTTCCTCGAAGAGGTCGAAGACGCGCTTCATGAAGGGGATATTTGGGAAGCGCATGGCACCGATATCCACGTAGTCGTATCGAGCAGGATCGTCGATCGGTGCATTCCTGCCTGCCTCGCCGTTGAAGCGGTAAGTGTAGATGCGCCCACCGATGCGGTTGTTGGCCTCGAGGATCTCGTACGGGACGCTGAGCGTGTCGAGGATCATCGCCGCGTAGAGTCCCGCGCACCCCGCGCCGACGATGCAGATGGGGAGTGCGGACCGCTGGTCATCGGGCAGAGGCTCCGGGACTGTCGGCAGCTGCGGACCTGGATCTCTTTGGAAGATACCTTGGTACAAGTTGATCGTGTCCTGAACGACGCGCTTGGCCGCCTCTCCGCGCACGGAGCTGTAGTTGGGCGAGCGGGCAGCGAGAGAAACCGGCATTGTGTTGTCGTTACTCGAATGTCAGGAAGGCGAGCGCTGTGATGGTTTTTGACTGCAAAGCCCGACGTTCTCGTGTTTTATGTTCCCTTGCTGCAGAATGTGCCTTGATCCAGACTTGACCGGGGTAGTACCGGGTTTGACAAACACCGGTGCTATCGATGTGAAACATCTCATGTGTGCTGTCCCTAGCGTCCTTTGATGTATGGAATGCGTCAACACTCCCTTCTTCGTGTTCGAGATTTACCTACACCGGTGCTATCGATATGAATCATTTCAAATCTACTGTCCATAGCGTCCATTGATGCATGGAACGCGTCAACGCTCCGTCCGGTATATGAGATCGCCGCCCCGCGGCATACGTCAGTTGACTCCGGTGTTCCGAAGGACCGAATCTCACGACAGGCACGTTTGCATCATATAAGTGACTTCCGTCATGTCCTTGCAATGCTTCATACTCGCTACCTTTGTTGCAGCTTTTCAGAAACACCAGCAACCCTTTCGGCATCCTTTGCGATCACTCTATACCGGCCATGAATTCCGAACAGCATGACCTGTATGCGAAATACGATGTCGTAGTCATCGGTGGCGGCCCAGTAGGGTAAGTGCGGATGTCGCATTGCGTATTTCACGAGCATGCTGAATCGATCTGCACTCGACATAGGCTCGCGACGGCGTTGGAATGTTCAAAGGCTGGGCAAAAGACTCTTGTCCTCGAACAGTCTGTATTCTATAACCAGTCCGGTAGCTCTGGGGTGCGCAGTCGCTCATGCAACCTCATGAGACATCAAACTAACTCATCATTAAGGACTTGGTTCGCATGTTCAGGACGGCCTATACCGAAGACTTCATGGCGGATCTTGCCGTGCAATGCATGTCTCTGTGGAACGAGCTCGAAGCGGAGGCGGGAGAGCCGTTACGGCTTATGACCGGCCTCCTCAACTTTGGTGATCCGAAATACGGAGTTCGTTGGCAGCTCGCGTCACATAACCCCGCGTCGTACTGACTTATTCGCCCTCCAGGAAGGAGGTCCTGAGGGCACCTTAATGGACCCAATCCGCAATCTGGATAGACACCACATGGCGTATACAATCCTCGACCGTGACGGTGTGGAAGAGAAGCTCCCTTTCCAGAATCTGCCTGACGAATGGGTGGGCATCGACATGCCTGACAATGGCTGCATTAACGTCCCCCTCATGCTTCGAACCCTGACTCGCCTATGCCGAGAGCATCGTGTCGACCTCTTCGACTACGCAACTGTCAAGCGTGTCCGCGCAGACAACACAAGGACGTATCCTTCTGCAAACTGGGTCGTAGAGGGGGCGATGCACGGCCCCAAAGGCGCCAGTGCGCTTGCTAGGGCATTTGCTTTCCGGGCAGACAAGATCGCGATCACTCCTGGAGCATACGTGAACCACATTCTGTACCCTTCGTTTGGGTTCACATTGGACGTCAACATCTGGGAAATGGTAGGCAGTGTTGATATCGTTGTCCATAGGCCTAGTCAGCGCTGACCCCCTTGGACCTAGGTCTACGAATACTACGCTATCGACCCGAGCATCCAGTTCGACAAGATGTGGTTCCAGTTCCAGGAGGATTCGAAGCCTATCCCGGGTGGAAAGCCCGTGTCAAACCTGTTCTACGGCTTTCCCTCGGTGCCCTGGGGACCTCCGAATATGTGCCGCATTGCGGTGGACACTGCGACAAACGTCATCGCTGACCCAGACCAGCGCCAGTACCCCGTCATCTCCCCAGAAGACCTCGAGAACACGCGCGAGTGGCTCCACAAGCACGTCCTCGGTGTGGGTCCGCACCCAGTGCCCGTGTTCGCGGGCACTTGCCTGCAGACGAACGTCTCGGACAACATGTTTGTGCTCGACTTCGTGCCAGAGCGGTACCTCCGCGGCGCGCAAGGTGAGAGCGATGCCGCTCGGGAGAAGACCATCGTCGTGTTCACGGCCGGGTGGGCTATGAAGTTCGTACCGCTCCTTGGGCGCGTCCTGAGAGAGCTGCTCCTGGACGGGAAGACGTCCCAGTACGATGTCAGCCATTTCTCCATTGAGCGCAAGCCGGGTGGAGTACCCATCATCCGAGACGGACCTGTGCAGAGGCGGGGGGATGTTATGCGCGCTCAATATACTGGGTCTTCTTTGCATCGTCTTGGTCATTGAAGGTGCTGGCAGCGAGGCAGGATGAAAGGACGAGTATGAGTATAGCCCGAGAAATGGAGAGAGCGAGAGCATGCTGTGTGTATACTATCTTTACGAAGAGCTATACGACATGATAGAAATGAACTTTCTTCTTCTTCTTCTTCTGGATCCCGTTTATTGCCCTGCGAGGCCGAGCCTCATGGTAGGCCATAAGTACATCAACTGACTACAACTTAAAGAAGAAAGGTACGGCGGTTCAAAAGCGAGCCAGCGGCTCGTGCAAACTAGGAGTGTGTGAGGAGGAGAAGTGTCGGATGGTGCTAGGGGTATACCGGAAGTACGAGGAACTGACAGAGGCTAGAGTAAGACGTTCGGGAGCATAGGTGTAAGAGTAGCAATTGGCAGGGCTCAGGAAAGTGCGCTGCGGTCGCCCGTCCACCCCCGGCCATCGAAGGCAAGGGGACAGGTTATAAACCTGCCGTGCATTGGGTACGCTTACGTCCCTGGGTCTTGCCTCTTGCCACGGTCAGGAGTACGTCTGGCGGTGTCCCCGCCGTCCGTCAGAACTCCCCCGCCCCTAGAGCGGGCGGGCGCCCGCAGCGCAGTTTACCAAGGGATCAAGAGACAGATATGAGCGGAGTAC